AACATGCGATTTTTGCCCTGTGTTAATAGTTTGTAAACATCTATTTAATTTATAATTAAATAACAAAATAAACCTATAAAGCGAAGGTGGGACAGTAGAGAAGTAAATTAGGTTCTTATCCTTGAAAACAAAAGGGTTTACAATAGGAAGGACTCGTATTACACTGTTGGATCCATATCATTGTAAAATAAGGATTTACAACGTTAAGGATTATGAGAACCCTAATGTTGTAAACGTGGTGCGAAAACCTGTAAATCACTACCTAAATTGTGTAACTTACAAGTTTATGGATCCTTTTTACAGCGTTATGGTACCCTCGTATACCAACCATTGTAAAATCGGCCCTTAATATTGTAAACCGTCATTTTACTACAATAAGGACCCCAATTTACATCCTCATGGTCCGGACTTGCCTATTCTTTGTAATTTGGATACATATCCTTGTAAAATAAGGATTTACAACATTAAGGATTATGAGAACCCTAATGTTGTAAACGTGGTGCAAAAACCTGTAAATCACTACCTAAATTGTGTAACTTACAAGTTTATGGATCCTTTTTACAACGTTATGGTACCTTTGTATCCCAACCATTGTAAAATCGGCCCTTAATCTTGTAAACCCTCATTTTACTACAATAAGGACCCCAATTTACATCCTCATGGTCCGAACTTGCCTATTCTTTGTAATTTGGATTCATATCCTTGTAAAATAAGGATTTATAACGTTAAGGATTATGAGAACCCTAATGTTGTAAACGTGGTGCAAAAACCTGTAAATCACTACCTAAATTGTGTAACTTACAAGTTTATGGATCCTTTTTACAGCATTATGGTACCCTCGTATCCCAACCATTGTAAAATCGGCCCTTAATATTGTAAACCCTCATTTTACTACAATAAGGACCCCAATTTACATCCTCATGGTCCGGACTTGCCTATTCTTTGTAATTTGGATCCATATCCTTGTAAAATAAGGATTTACAACGTTAAGGATTATGAGAACCCTAATATTGTAAACATGGTGCAAAAACCTGTAAATCACTACCTAAATCGTGTAACTTACAAGTTTATGGATCCTTTTTACAGCATTATGGTACCCTCGTATCCCAACCATTGTAAAATCGGCCCTTAATATTGTAAACCCTCATTTTACTACAATAAGGACCCCAATTTACATCATCATGGTCCGGACTTGCCTATTCTTTGTAATATGGATCCATATCCTTGTAAAATAAGGATTTACAACATTAAGGATTATGAAAACCCTAATGTTGTAAACGTGGTGCAAAAACCTGTAAATCACTACCTAAATTGTGTAACTTACAAGTTTATGGATCCTTTTTACAACGTTATGGTATCCTCGTATCCTAACCATTGTAAAATCGGCCCTTAATATTGTAAACCCTCATTTTACTACAATAAGGACCCCAATTTACATCCTTATGGTCCGGACTTGCCTATTCTTTGTAATTTGAATCCATATCCTTGTAAAATAAGAATTTACAACATTAAGGATTATGAGAACCCTAATGTTGTAAACGTGGTGCAAAAACCTGTAAATCACTACCTAAATTGTGTAACTTACAAGTTTATGGATCCTTTTTACAATGTTATGGTACCCTCGTATACCAACCACTGTAAAATTGGCCCTTAATATTGTAAACCCTCATTTTACTACAATAAGGACCCCAATTTACATCCTCATGGTCCGGACTTGCCTATTCTTTGTAATTTGGATCCATATCCTTGTAAAATAAGGATTTACAACATTAAGGATTATGAGAACCCTAACGTTGTAATCGTGGTACAAAAACTTGTAAATAACTACCTAAATCGTGTAACTTACATGTTTTTGGATCCTCTTTACAAGGTTATGGTACCCTCGTATCCTAAAATTGTAAAATCGGCCCTTAGTCTTGTAAACCCTCATTTTACTAGAATAAGGACCCAATTTACATCCTCATGGTCCGGAGTTACCAAGTCCTTGTAATGTGGATCAATATCCTTGTAAATGGGTATTTACAACGTTATGGATTAGGTGAACCCTAATGTTGTAATCCTGGTTCAAAAACTTGTAAATCGCTACCCAAATCTTGTAACTTATAAGTTTTAGGATCCTTTTACAATGTTATGGTACTCACATATCCAAACTATTGTAAATCACTATCCAATCATATGCCAATTGCCAAACAAGAAGGGCATAATTGCTACCCAAATCTTGTAACTTATAAGTTTTAGGATCCTTTTACAATGTTATGGTACTCACATATCCAAACTATTGTAAATCACTATCCAATCATATGCCAATTGCCAAACAAGAAGGGCATAATTGCTACCCAAATCTTGTAACTTATAAGTTTTAGGATCCTTTTACAATGTTATGGTACTCACATATCCAAACTATTGTAAATCACTATCCAATCATATGCCAATTGCCAAACAAGAAGGGCATAATTGCTACCCAAATCTTGTAACTTATAAGTTTTAGGATCCTTTTACAATGTTATGGTACTCACATATCCAAACTATTGTAAATCACTATCCAATCATATGCCAATTGCCAAACAAGAAGGGCATAATTGCTACCCAAATCTTGTAACTTATAAGTTTTAGGATCCTCTTACAATGTTATGGTACTCTCATATCCAAACTACTGTAAATCACTATCCAATCATATGCCAATTGCCAAACAGGAAGGGCATAATTGCATGACCCTAATGTTGTAATCCTGGTTCAAAAACTTGTAAATCGCTACCCAAATCTTGTAACTTATAAGTTTTAGGATCCTTTTACAATGTTATGGTACTCAGATATCCAAACTATTGTAAATCACTATCCAATCATATGCCAATTGCCAAACAGGAAGGGCATAATTGCATGACCCTTATGCAATTGCATTTTCAAAAATGCAATTGCCAAATAGAAAGGGCATAATCGCTACCCAAATCTTGTAACTTATAAGTTTTAGGATCCTCTTACAATGTTATGGTACTCTCATATCCAAACTACTGTAAATTACTATCCAATCATATGCCAATTGCCAAACAGGAAGGGCATAATTGCATGACCCTTATGCAATTGTATTTTCAAAAAGTGAAAACTTGATAACTTGTATAACCGGTAACCAATTTTTTTAAAAATTTGGGAGCATCATAAAGGACAAATGGTGCATGGGTGCACCTGGTGTACTATAGAAGGTGCCTTGCCACCATACGTCAAGCGAGAAGAAACACCTTTTGGCACCTTTTGAAAAATAGAAAAAGGACTCCTTACACAATAAAAAAAATTAATAAGGGTATTATTGTTCAAATACTAGAATTTTGTCATTCTTTATAAAGACTTCCCATTTTTGGGCTGAATCAAAATGTTTTTTCATTTTATAATGCAACCGGTTATTTAGTGTGAAGTATATTGATGGAGTGGCTGGGTTAAATATGCAAAGACAAAACATATATATCGAAGAAACAAAAAAAAAAAGATAAAAAAAGAGGTAGGTGAGCTTTGACTTGGTAGGTGAAGTAGAAGAATCAAATCCATATACATAAAAACAGAGAAATTAGAAGAAGAAGACGAAAAAGAGAGAAGAAATGGGAGGAGGAATATACGGGGCAGTGATGGAGGAGATAACGTTGTACACGGGACTTTCACCGGCGGCCTTCTTCACAATCGCAGGGATGATGGTTGTGGTTTACAGAATTGTCAGCGCAATGTTTGTGGGGCCCGAAGACTACAACAAGCCTCCCATGGCGGCAAGCATCGGCACCGATTCCAATTTGGTTAACAAGTACTTGAATCTCAACCAAACCACCACCAAAACTCCGACGCAAATGGGAGACATGACGGAGCAACAATTGAGAGGCTTTGATGGTTCTGATCCCAATAAGCCTCTGCTCATGGCCATCAGAGCTCAGATCTATGACGTCTCTATCTCCAGGTAGTTTGCCGGATTTTCCACTTTTGTCTATTTCATTTCAATTGTGGCAATTAGACCCACGTAGTTTGATATTCTTGCAATTTAAGAACACGTACTAATTTCTGTCCAATTTAGTGATAAAGTAAATACGTGTCGCTGAATGAGTATTTTGAACGGATTTGTAATGTTGTCCTGGCCAACTGGCATTATTTTTCAAGTTTGGTTTTGTGGTTTATTTTTGAATTTATTGGACTGAGTGAGTTTGGTGGCCCTTACAACCTGCAGGAATTTTTATGGTCCTGGGGGACCGTACGCAATGTTTGCTGGAAGAGATGCTAGCAGAGCTTTAGCTCTTCTGTCCTTTAAGCCCCAAGACATAAATGGCAACATTGAAGGTCTTGGGCCCGATGAACTTGAGATTTTACAGGACTGGGAAGATAAATTCATTGAAAAATATCCCAATGTCGGGAAGCTTGTAGCAGAGCCAACAAAGACCGAGCAAACTGAAGCTCAACAGCAAGGAATTGGGCAAGAACAATAGAGAGGGAAGGAGAGAGGAGAGGAGAGGAGAGGAGAGGCTAATCTGTTGGTATCTAAATCTATCAACTGTTATTTCTTCTGAATCTGAGCTTTGCAGTTGTTTGTTGCTATTATTGTTCGTGTAAATATGGTAGTTAGTTAGGGCATCTTTAACCGATATGTTAAATTGCGACGTCGATATAAAATAAAAACCACACTCCCTTCACAGCGGTCAGCCCTTCCATCCCATCTTTTTTACTTATTTTAACTTAATGTAATTTTTTGTCACGTCTGGGATCCAGAGCCACCAAAACTCTACAATCAAATGAAGTCTACTCATTTCTAGAATCAAAGCAACATGCAGAGTTCATCTGTAAAGGATCTGAGAAAAACAACCTGGGAACCCCAATTGCCATCATAAAGCTAAAAAATTACCGGTTAGGTCACTCAACGTTTGGCTCATTCCATTAATCACAACATTGCCAACAAGAATTTGACTTGAAATATTCCTGATACAAAAGCTCAGCGGGGAATATATAGCCCAGCTCACAACACTTCAGCTACCTGCTATGCAGACATTAATTTTCCCCCATTTGACTCCAAAAAAATAAAAACAAAATACTAGAGGCTATTAATTCAGACTTACTAGATAACTCCAACCTCAGCTTACTGCCTCCTTAGTGAGTTCATCAGAAGGCACTTGCCCAATAGTTGATTCTGCCAACACAACAGCCTTTCCAACAATCCGACCGTCGCCGCATTTCCAATCTCCACAACATCCGGCAAGCTTATTACAGACCCAACCTCTCATGTTGAACTGAAGCCACTAAAAATTCCATCAGATTTCGTCTTCCTCACTTTTCCAGAACCAGAGCATCACTAGAAATAGAACAGTTTCCATACTCTGGAGCATCAACAAATCAGCTCCTTCAGAATTATCTTCTTCTGATTACCTGGTCAACAGACTAAATTCAATACCAGTATTGTTGAAACTTCCTTTGCTGAAGGAAACATATTTTCAAGGCACCGCATATTCTTCTCTCTGTAACATTTGATCAATAAGCTCAAATTTTCATCCACCTCAAACATCTTATATCCCCTCTTTTGCTCTATCACTGGTACACCAATCCCCACACAAATGTAATAACATTATAAACAGGTTATGCCATCACAATAAAATAAAACATGAGCAGCAGTAAGAAATGGAATCATCAGAATCGATTTAACCTCCCAATAATTAAAAACAAATAAAAAAATTGAAGGCTTCACTTCACAGCTAAATTTAATTTCTAAGCAAGAGCCCACCAAATCCTTCTCCTTCTAGCAGATAATCAACGGGCAAATACCGAAATCCTATCCTCCGCACTAACCCTTTTTTCTTGCCCAGTACCCTTAAATATACATGTGACTACATAAGCATATGAAAACGAGACTACAACCCAACCTTTATCCACAAATTCAAGAGAGTAAAGCAAAAGGGTTAATCAGAAAGAAACTAGGAAAAAATAAACCAACTCTGATAATCACAAGAAAACCACCAATGTGGGTCAGTTGGAAGAGTCAGGCTCATGGTTTGCCCCCATGTGGTCTGAGGTTCAAAAGCAACCAAATGATTGTAGGGCTTGGCCGGGGGCCCAGTTTCAAAGCTGAGTCCGCAATGTGGATTGGTGGATTCCTGGTTATATTAAAAATTAAAAATTAAAAAAAACCTAGGTTTTCCTGGATCTAAGAGAATCCATCTCAGATTATCTTGAGAAATAGGCCTCCTCTACCTGTTTCCTTCTTCTTTAGGAACAAACCAAAATCCAAATAATCAGAAACCATCAAAACAGGCAAAAAAAGAAAAAAGAAAAAAGCAAATCAGAATGTGACATAGAGAGGCTTTAAGGAAAAGAAGAGAGATTAAGAAAGATGCAGATCCTTATCTGTTAAAAAATGAAAAGTAAGAGAACAATGCTTTCCTTTTGTGCCAAAATAGAAAGAAGGGTTGAGAATAACATTTAATAAAAATAAATTTACATTGAAGACCTTCTCAATAAAAACTCAATATTCAAAACTCCAACTAAAAGTATTTATACAACTAGATTTATTTTTCTTTTGTTTTATGTATAATACTTTAAAAAAAATGTTATTTTACCAAAATAACTGTGCTTATCACTTACATGCAAGGGACATGTTAATGTGCTTCTGTGGATGTGTGCGTTTATTGATGCATCAAGAAATTTTTATGACACATAACTTGAATAACATGACAACTGAAAAATTCCAATCATTGTAATATATGTCCACATGAACAAGTGCATTATTCTTCAGAGAGAGAAAAAAATCAACACCGAGAAAGAAATACTGAATCAAGTATAGACAGATTATACAAATACGTTAAAAGCAACATACTCCATCTTCAAAAACCAGTAAGAGCTCTTTGCTTTTACCTGGACAAAAAAGGACTCTGTTTCATACATAAATATAGCAATTTTAATAAACTTATAATAACATGTAATGGAGTGATTACTGTGGTTGTGTGGATGTGTGTGTATACATCAGGAAAATATCTATGATACATAACCTGAATACATGATACTTAAAATGTTCCATTTATTGTAACTATTTTTTTTATGTACATGAACAAATACATTATTGTTTCACAAGAAAAAACTTATAAAGCGACAAACTCTGTCCTCATAAACTAATGAGAACTTTTTGCTTTTATCTGCACACAAATGTGGTGATTTGACCAAGATGACTTCTAAGTACAATAAGAAGAAGGCAAACTAGATTTAATGGCCACCTCCTACGGCTTCTCTTTACGTACTTTGGATCTTTCAAGGGATCTCATTGTTTCTTCAAATGATTTCTGAATGCAAATGAAAGCTTGTCAGTGAAACAATCTTGGAGAACATTCATTCTGCATTATATCCCTGGTATGATTTCAAAATGACCAAGTAGGGCATTCCCCAATAAAGTAAATGTATTTAAAGTTCAGTAACGAAAAAAAAAAAACAACCTCCAGTAGGCATCTCAGGTCTCAATTACTGTTAGACAAGGTTTAAGAGAAACCAACTGAAAGTAGTTCAAAATCAATGGCACTAACAAAGCAACCACATGTATGCTTGCTGGAGCTAATATAAGAAAATTTTGATTGTGCATGCCTCTACATTTACTTTTTGAATTTGCATTTCATATTAATAATCAAAAGTGCGCAAAAACCACGCCATATGACAGTTATCAAACTCGCTAGGTTTCTAGGAAGGATTTATTTAGCTTGCACCTTGAAGGGTGCCTTCTTTTGTTCATTTAGGTAAGCCAAATGAATCAGAGAACAATGGTTGAAATTAGGATCAATATTGGTCTTTGGTTCGGTTTCTATAAATCATATTACACACCACATGTCCCCACCAGGAAGATTGTATGACCACAAAGTAGTGAAAGCAAGGATTTAAAAAACAAAACCCTGGAGAGAGGAATTCCAGGGTGAGAGGGAAAAAAAAAAAGAAAAGAGAAACGTACCTCAGCATTATGCATCTTCCATAGAGCATCCCAGCCCCTATTAACAACGACCATGCCGCCTAAGAAAGCCCTGCATAAAATTCATCTACCAATGAAAATTTTCCAAAGAGAAAATGTACCAAAAATCTTATATATAAGAAGATTTGGGTATCGTTAAAAGTACTGAAATGTTTGCATCATTAGCTAATAGGTATGTTTTTCTTATAGCATTCATCATTACAATTAGCACAAAATTGAAACTAACTAGACTAGAAAATACCAGGGCAAAGAGCACTTTGTCAACATCTAAAACCCATGATCACAAATTGATACAAATTACAATCTAAATTCCGTAACAACTGAACAAATCAGATATCTTTGCAACATGTTTACCAGTCAAAGAAATCAAAATGAACAAAAACCAACCATGTATATTCATACATTTCTCAATTGCAACCATCAATTCACTCATAAAAATTAACCATGGAAAATACACAACAATACCCTGCAACGGAGAGATTCAGAAGAAACGCTCGCGTCGTGACGTAGCGAAGCACATTCTCAAACGCAGAGGAAGCTCCAGAGCCTCCAGAGGAGGCTCGTCTGTACTTGCCTCCATAATTGGTAGCACTATAACCATAACCATGGCCGTAATTACTAGTATTTGCATTGTAATTGTGGGAGCGAGAGCTCCGGAAATTATAGTCGGCGCGCTTGCGATCGTCGATGAGGACCTGGTAGGCCTCTGAGACCTGCTTGAATCTGAGGGTGGTGCTCTCCCTCACGGCCTTGGGGGAGTGGGAGTGCTTGTCTGGGTGCAGCTTCACCGCCAGTTTCCTGAACGCTTCCTTGATTTCTTCTTTGCTCGCGCTCCTTGGCAACCCCAGAACCTTGTAGTGGTCCATTGGTTTTGGAATTTGATGATTTTCAATCGATGTTTGTTTGTGATTGTTCAATTTTCTGTTGGCATGGCCATGGAATTGGAGTGAAGGAGTGAGTTCAGAGGGGTTTATCAATTCAATTCGTCATGGTAAATTCAACCTCGTGGCAGCGCCGTAGCCGCTTCCTTTTTGCCATGCTTTTGCAGTTTGCCTGCAATTCATTTTCAGGAAAAATGGATCAAGCAAATTTCGCTCTTGTCTCCTAAGTTTGCCCAAAATTTCAATTTAGCCCCTATAGTTTTTTCTTTGGCGACTTTAGTTTGATACAGGGCGTGTACATAATGTTATTTAGTTTGGGGGAAATTTTTTTTTTTATTAGATAGAAGGCAAAAGCCGGTTACAACAAAGTGAGCTCCACAAAGGAATTCAACAAGCTGCAGCACAAGAAGGCATAAAATCTACTACATCATAAAACTTGAGGACATAAAGCCCAAAAAAGCAAAGCGCACACAAAAGGCAATGAATACGGAATAGGGAAATGCCACACCACCCATAACCAAACAACAGCATAATCAACACAAGCCCACACCCACCGGAGAGGAACCAATAACCAATGCTCAAGACAAAAAATGGTGCTGAACAAGCTACCAAAGTTACAAAGAGCGCTACCATAATCCAAGCAATAAGTGACATAAGCACTTTAAAAGCAACCCTAACTGCATAAGAGTCACCAAGGAAAGGAGACCCTCGTGTGGTCGAGGCACTGAAGATGGTGATGAAGGGAAGGTGTCGAGAAATAGCCGCTAATGGTAGGAGGAGAAAATACATATCAAGCACTAGAGGCTCTTACAAGTAAAAACTAGAAGAGAATATTGATGAACACCACAAATGGGTTGAAAACAAAAGCAGCACAAAAGGCTGAAGAGAACTGCATAGCACGCTTGGTCACCCTGTTTGCTACCAAATCACAGATAGAGGCAAATCACATATCTGAAGTAGCTTTCTAGCATGAATCAAATCTCAAATCTGCAAAAGAAACAAACAAAGCA